AAAGAAAATTAACCAGCGTATAAAGTGCCGCGAGCTCCTCATTCCACGCATCGTGAAACTGCCCGACTGATTGAAATTGTATCAACTGTACACCAAAATCGGTAGACTCTCCCTGTAAATAGAAGAATCCATACAGCTTTCCTCAAGTTGCTCCCCAGAAGGGGTTAATTCTTCGTACTACTAGACTTGCATTCATCTTGAAAGTGAACGCTTTGCGTTCCCTTCCTTATCAGACGAAAAAAGGTTCACAGGGCGTTGATATCTTGTACCATGTGACGATTGATTATCTATCACCTGGAAAAGCACTACTTGTCAATTTCACTATTTACGAGCGAAATTCCCTGAGAAATTCTTCTATTTGTTCGGATGGCACCCATTTTCACACCTCTTCTTATTTTAATATGTTTTCTGGGATGGAGCAATGCCTACAAGATGGTTCTTTTTGTTCCCGACATCACAAACAGTCAGGTGACATCCTTTGAAGAGCTGTAGTGGCAAATCGTTAAGCATTCAGTTTTGAAGGTAATTTTCAATAGCCGAATAGCAGAAACTCTTGTGAAAGCCGGTCATGACGTCACAATGGTACTAATCACAGGATTCGCTGACAGAGATTCCAGTGACGTGAAAATCGTGAAAGGGGTTTCAGGCAAGTCATCTGACAGGCTTCTTACCACTATTTGTTCAATTATTATTTATTTCTCTCTCCTGTCTCTCCAGACTGAGCAGGCAGCGCTCAGACCTTGCTATGACGCGAGGAGGGTAAGGAACAGGAGGGTGCAGACTATGTGACAAGACAGCGTATCCCTCTGCTCTCTTAAACTCAGCACACTAGGGTCGGCACCGAATTACGGCTGCGTTCTTGCCTGTAGTATTTCAACGTTATTGCCGTGGTAGCGCGACGACGCGCGATATCGCGTAATCTAAATCTGGCGGATAACTCAAATCTCCTATTTTTCCTTCTGAATTGAATTGAAGTGACCGGTCCGTTAGGCTGCGATTATACTTTGCGGCAGCGTAAACGAACGTCCGCCAGAGACCATCAGCGTCGCGAAGGACCGTATCCTGGTGCTGGTGCGCGCTGGTGGCCAGTGGTGGCGCTGGTAGACGCTAAATCGATACTTCGTACTTTCCTAGTCCCTGGAGACGCTGATGTTTGATGGGGGACGCTAGGGGACGCTGCCGTAAAGTATGAAAGCAGCCCTAGGTTCTGTTCAGCGTGCAAAGATAACGAAGTGTTGCGGCCGTTGCTCGGTCCGAATACCCTGACTCCGCTCCAATCTTAATTCTGTTGTTACTATCTTGGAGCAGGAAAACAGTGTCATCGAACACTTTCCTATCCAGTACGTTCTTCACGTTGAAACGATATAAGGGATTTGGTAAACTGGGTAAACATGGTGGGTCCCTTGGATCAGGGTAACATCTGTGCATCAAAATTCTTATGGAACTTTGCTGAACCTTTTCGATTTTTCCTTTTGTGGACTCTTCTGTTCTGGGGATTCCACATCTATAGATTAAGCGAAGTTTTGTTGATCTCCTGAGCATGATAGTCCTGAGGTAGTAGACTATTTCACAGGTATTGGAGTCAAGTTGAGGAGAGAAAGACAAACTCTACCACGGTATTTTTCGGCAGTCTACGGAGGTCCTCTTGACAATTTATCAGATGCAAGCAGGCAGTCAAATTACGGGTGGAAGACTATACCGTCCTCTTCAGGAGCTTGAAACTTTGGCACACCACTACTGAGGATTTGTCGACGCGGAAGGGTCATACTTAAAGGTAAAGCCCGCGATCACTCGCCATCACAGATAGTGGATTAGGAGCTTTCATATAGACGAATAGTTTCTGAGTAACTCGATAGTGAAGAAGTAGCAGGAGAAACATGCCAACTGCCCTAGATAGAACCCCATTCCGATCCCAGTTTGTACGTGCCCAATTAACTCCATCTCCAACACTACGCCCTCATCCGCACAGCTTCCTCGATAAGAACTCTACGACCGTACAAGTGACGATTTTCATGCTTTTTCGTCCTGCAGCTTCGTTTTCACTGAAAGGCGGGCCTTGAAGGCGGAGTCTGGAGGCGGAGTCACTGGAAAAAAGGAGGCGTCACTGAACCTATATTGCGCTATAGCGCCCCTCCCTTACAATTTTTTGCCGCGAAACCGGTACAAGGTTGTTCGTCGCGGACCACACTACCCTCCCGACGCCATATTTTCAACTTCTATACCTGATCGCGGACCGTACCTTTAAGTGTCAGAGAACGTGGATCGGACTGTTGAGCCCAGTCAGTGTTCAAGTCACCTCTGCGCAGCACGTTTAGTTGTCGTTTTAGGATCAAAGCTTTCGTCAATACCCGGGTCTTTTCCGCAGTTTTCATACCCACCTCGAGTTGGAATAGGGGATTGTGCGAATCTGTCGTCTTTCCATGTTAGTTTCGAGCACCAGACTACAAAAATCTGTTTCAAGACGAAGTCGATCAAGCTGTTGGTCAGAGTGGGAAATCTGTTTCAAACTAGTGTAAATTTTGATAGCAAGCTCACAAAAAGTATTCAGAAGCTAGACCCCACCGCCAAGGAACTGCGACTGCGGAATTTATCTTTAGCAATGAGAAAAGTGCAGACTTCATTTATTCATTCGAATCATGAATAACAAAAGTTCC